CTCTACCTTGGTTGGACACGGGACAATTTATTTCAATGCATTCTGGAGTATGGGCAGTATTCAGTACAAGGGACTGGCCATTGTGCACCGTCCGTATTCATCCGTACGTTTTCTTTAGCGTCTCAACGGTGGCTAATGCCAGCCAGTTTTCAATGCTTCGTTGCACGCATGTAATTTTTTTTTATATTCAGACATCTTATACAAAATCCGTATGAAAAGATCTATTTTTAAGCGGACAAAAATACGTTGCTTAATATACTTGTAAAGAAGATAAGTAATAAAAAAATGTCCTCTAAACAGATGTTTTCAGCGAAGCTTTATATAAACAGATCTAAAGTAAGGTAACCAACTCCTCTTCAGTTTGATACAAACCACTGTAAAAACAAATTATTACAACTGGTTTTGATGACATTATTTGTACAACATCCCTCGAGGGCTCTGTCGGTCTCAAGTGGCGGCCATCGGAAATGTAAATAAGATAAAAAAAATACCACGAAGAGTTCATTTCAAAACATTCAATGTGATTTACGAGGGTTCCGTAAATAAATAAAGCTGTAAAGGCGGGTCGTTTGACTGCTTGTGAGTTTGTGAGGCGAGACTTCAACAATTTATATTACTCACTAGATGTATTCCGAGACATAGTCTATGAGGAATTTTAAAAAATAAAATAGCCTAAGTACTAGTCAGCCAGATTATAATCTAGATGTGTTCCAAATTTAAAATAATTCCATCCAGCTATTACGGACTTCAGTTCAACATGCACCCGTACTATACGTATCTATGTATAATCGTAAAAGTTAAAGGTCGCAATCAAGAAGGGTAGACAGAAATACTGGATTTCCAATTAATTACAATTAAATTGCTTATTCCTAAAATAACTCAACTAAATTAGATAACTAACATATATACATACGTGATGAAACAGTAATTCACGTCAAAGTATGCATTTTTAGAGCATTTAATGAGAAGCTAAAACTGGCAGGTTTGTAACGTAATGTATATTACGACTTAGAACTAGGTCACAGACGGAACGCGTGCTTACACAACAATAACTACCAATTATATTTATAAAGATAACGGAAGTTGCAA